AGTGGGTCTACAGCAATGACATGAGCCCAGTGAGTCTGCAGGCATGTGACATGAGCCCAGTGAGTCTGCAGCCATGACATGAGCCCAGTGAGTCTGCAGCCATGACATGAGCCCAGTGGGTCTACAGCCATGACATGAGCCCAGTGGGTCTGCAGCCATGACATGAGCTCTGCAGTCCATGTGAGTTAGAAACAGCCATGACATGAGCCCAGTGGATCTGCGGCCATGACATGAGCCCAGTGGGTCTGCAGCCATGACATGAGCCCAGTGAGTCTGCAGCCATGACATGAGCCCAGTGAGTCTGCAGCCATGACATGAGCCCAGTGAGTCTGCAGCCATGACATGAGCCCAGTGAGTCTGCAGCCATGACATGAGCCCAGTGAAAGTCCCAGCCATGACATGAGCCCAGTGAGTCTGCAGCCATGACATGAGCCCAGTGGGTCTGCAGCCATGACATGAGCCCAGTGAGTCTGCAGCCATGACATGAGCCCAGTGAGTCTGCAGCCATGACATGAGCCCAGTGAGTCTGCAGCCATGACATGAGCCCAGTGAGTCTACAGCCATGACATGAGCCCAGTGGGTCTACAGCCATGACATGAGCCCAGTGAGTCTACAGCCATGACATGAGCCCAGTGAGTCTACAGCCATGACATGAGCTCAGTGGGTCTACAGCCATGACATGAGCCCAGTGGAGTCTGCAGCCATGACATGAGCCCAGTCAAAGCCTGCAGCCATGACATGAGCCCAGTGAGTCTACAGCCATGACATGAGCTCAGTGAGTCTACAGCCATGACATGAGCCCAGTGAGTCTACAGCCATGACATGAGCTCCAGTGAGTCTGCAGCCATGACATGAGCCCAGTGAGTCTACAGCCATGACATGAGCTCAGTGAGTCTGCAGCCATGACATGAGCCCAGTGGAGTCTGCAGCCATGACATGAGCCCAGTGAGTCTGCAGCCATGACATGAGCCCAGTGAGTCTGCAGCCATGACATGAGCCCAGTGGGTCTACAGCCATGACATGAGCCCAGTGGGTCTACAGCCATGACATGAGCTCAGTGGGTCTGCAGCCATGACATGAGCCCAGTGAGTCTGCAGCCATGACATGAGCTCCAGTGGGTCTACAGTCATGACATGAGCCAGTGGGACAGCCATGACATGAGCTCAGTGAGTCTGCAGCCATGACATGAGCCCAGTGAGTCTACAGCCATGACATGAGCCCAGTGAGTCTGCAGCCATGACATGAGCCCAGTGAGTCTGCAGCCATGACATGAGCCCAGTGAGTCTGCAGCCATGACATGAGCTCAGTGAGTCTACAGTCATGACATGAGCTCAGTGGGTCTACAGCCATGACATGAGCCCAGTGAGTATGCAGCCATGACATGAGCTCAGTGGGTCTACAGCCATGACATGAGCCCAGTGGGTCTGCAGCCATGACATGAGCCCAGTGGGTCTGCAGCCATGACATGAGTCTACAGTGGGTCTACAGTCTGCCATGACATGAGCTCAGTGGGTCTACAGCAATGACATGAGCCCAGTGGGTCTACAGCAATGACATGAGCCCAGTGAGTCTACAGCAATGACATGAGCTCAGTGGGTCTGCAGCCATGACATGAGCCCAGTGGGTCTGCAGCCATGACATGAGCCCAGTGAGTCTACAGCCATGACATGAGCCCAGTGGGTCTGCAGCCATGACATGAGCCCAGTGGGTCTACAGCCATGACATGAGCCCAGTGAGTCTGCAGTCATGACATGGTCACAGCCCATGACATGAGCCCAGTGGGTCTGCAGCAAATGACATGCCATGACATGATTCCAGTGGGTCTGCACATGAGGACAGTGGGTCTGCAGCCATGACATGAGTCCAGTGGGTCTGCAGTCCGTGGACTGATCAGTTAGAAACAGCCATGACATGAGTCCAGTGGGTGTGCAGTCCGTGGACTGATCAGTTAGGAACAGCCATGATATGAGTCCAGTGGGTGTGCAGTCCGTAGACTGATCAGTGAGTAACAGCCATGACATGAGTTCAGTAGGTCTGCAGTCCACATGTCAGTTAGAAACAACCATGACATGAGTCCAGTGGGTGTGCAGTCCGTGGACTGATCAGTTAGTAACAGCCATGACATGAGTTCAGTGGGTGTGCAGTCCGTGGACTGATCAGTTAGTAACAGCCATGATAAGAGTCCAGTGGGTGTGCAGTCCGTGTGACTGATCAGTTAGGAACAGCCATGACATGAGTCCAGTGGGTGTGCAGTCCGTGGACTGATCAGTTAGGAACAGCCATGACATGAGTCCAGTGGGTGTGCAGTCCCTGGACTGATCAGTTAGTAACAGCCATGACATGAGTTCAGTGGGTGTGCAGTCCGTGGACTGATCAGTTAGGAACAGCCATGACATGAGTCCAGTGGGTCTGCAGTCCGTGGACTGATCAGTTAGTAACAGCCATGACATGAGTCCAGTGGGTCTGCAGTCCGTGGACTGATCAGTTAGGAACAGCCATGACATGAGTCCAGTGGGTCTGCAGTCCGTGGACTGATCAGTTAGTAACAGCCATGACATGAGTACAGTGGGTGTGCAGTCCGTGGACTGATCAGTTAGGAACAGCCATGACATGAGTCCAGTGGGTCTGCAGTCCGTGGACTGATCAGTTAGGAACAGCCATGACATGAGTCCAGTGGGTGTGCAGTCCGTGGACTGATCAGTTAGGAACAGCCATGACATGAGTCCAGTGGGTCTGCAGTCCGTGGACTGATCAGTTAGGAACAGCCATGACATGAGTCCAGTGGGTCTGCAGTCCGTGGACTGATCAGTTAGAAACAGCCATGACATGAGTCCAGTGGGTGTGCAGTCCGTGGACTGATCAGTTAGTAACAGCCATGACATGAGTCCAGTGGGTGTGCAGTCCGTGGACTGATCAGTTAGTAACAGCCATGACATGAGTTCAGTGGGTCTGCAGTCCGTGGACTGATCAGTTAGGAACAGCCATGACATGAGTCCAGTGGGTGTGCAGTCCGTGGACTGATCAGTTAGGAACAGCCATGACATGAGTCCAGTGGGTCTGCAGTCCGTGGACTGATCAGTTAGTAACAACCATGACATGAGTCCAGTGGGTGTGCAGTCCGTGGACTGATCAGTTAGTAACAGCCATGACATGAGTTCAGTGGGTGTGCAGTCCGTGGACTGATCAGTTAGTAACAGCCATGATAAGAGTCCAGTGGGTGTGCAGTCCGTGTGACTGATCAGTTAGGAACAGCCATGACATGAGTCCAGTGGGTCTGCAGTCCGTGGACTGATCAGTTAGGAACAGCCATGACATGAGTCCAGTGGGTGTGCAGTCCCTGGACTGATCAGTTAGTAACAGCCATGACATGAGTTCAGTGGGTGTGCAGTCCGTGGACTGATCAGTTAGGAACAGCCATGACATGAGTCCAGTGGGTCTGCAGTCCGTGGACTGATCAGTTAGTAACAGCCATGACATGAGTCCAGTGGGTCTGCAGTCCGTGGACTGATCAGTTAGGAACAGCCATGACATGAGTCCAGTGGGTCTGCAGTCCGTGGACTGATCAGTTAGTAACAGCCATGACATGAGTCCAGTGGGTCTGCAGTCCGTGGACTGATCAGTTAGGAACAGCCATGACATGAGTCCAGTGGGTCTGCAGTCCGTGGACTGATCAGTTAGGAACAGCCATGACATGAGTCCAGTGGGTGCAGTCCCGTGGACTGATCAGTTAGGAACAGCCATGACATGAGTCCAGTGGGTCTGCAGTCCAGTGGGTGCAGACTGGACTGATCAGTTAGGAACAGCCATGACATGAGTCCAGTGGGTCTGCAGTCCGTGGACTGATCAGTTAGGAACAGCCATGACATGAGTCCAGTGGGTCTGCAGTCCGTGGACTGATCAGTTAGAAACAGCCATGACATGAGCCCAGTGGGTGTGCAGTCCCTGGACTGATCAGTTAGTAACAGCCATGACATGAGTTCAGTGGGTGTGCAGTCCGTGGACTGATCAGTTAGGAACAGCCATGACATGAGTCCAGTGGGTCTGCAGTCCGTGGACTGATCAGTTAGTAACAACCATGACATGAGTCCAGTGGGTCTGCAGTCCGTGGACTGATCAGTTAGGAACAGCCATGACATGAGTCCAGTGGGTCTGCAGTCCGTGGACTGATCAGTTAGTAACAGCCATGATAAGAGTCCAGTGGGTGTGCAGTCCGTGGACTGATCAGTTAGGAACAGCCATGACATGAGTCCAGTGGGTCTGCAGTCCGTGGACTGATCAGTTAGAAACAGCCATGACATGAGCCCAGTGGGTGTGCAGTCCACATAAGTTAGAAACAGCCATGAGCCTTTATAGCTAGTCAGAATCACCGAATATACAGTTATAACACAGGTATATGATGTAGAGTCTCATAAAATCAATTATAACACAATACAGGAAATAATAAAATCTAAATAAATATTGCATTAGACCCTACAGAGATACAAAGTGTAAAAATGTGCAGAGAAAGGTTAGCAATTTAGTTTCAACACAGCAAATATCCGTACTACATGTATAATATTACTTAATACATGAATAATGGGCTTATTATCACACTAAACATTTGGACATAGTGATTAGTTTTTTCAGTACATGGGGATGTAACTGGGATTTATGCATACAACATACTTATTGCACATCCATGTTTTATTAAAGCAATGTCTAGGTCATAGACAATAAGACAATTCTAACATGAAAAGATTACTTTGCTTAGGTACAAAAAGTTTTAAATTCTGTGCGATGGCAGAGAAAAACAAGAAGAGCACAAACTGTCATTGGAAAAATTAGGGAAAACTTAGGGAAAAGATGAGTTGAAACTTTGGGGACTGCTGTGTTGCAGAAGGAAATAATGGAAGATATTTAAATGATATTATACAGCATGAAAATAGAAGGTTGATGATGACGCATACTGTTAACTTAGGATCATGTATTTATTGATATTGAATAAGATGTGGAAGGCTTGCCATCAGCTGGATGTGGGGCTAGTGGCAGCGTGGGGAAGATGGCTGACAGGTGCAGGTTCTCCTCCTGGCCCTGGTGACACTTCTGACAGATGGTTTCAAGTCTCCCCTTGGTCAGTAGTTGGTGTCCTTCTATGTCTATGTTCATGTGACTCCCATAGTCCAGGAAGTAGTCCCTGTGTGTGTGCTGACTGCTGTGGTGTTGATAGACAGATGGGTAAAAGGTGAAGGGGACATCCATGGCTTGCAAACACAGTCATTCATCAGGCCGAAACTGAAACAATAGTAGTGATTTTACTGTATTTCATGTGTATAATGTGCACGTGAGTATAATTGCCCAACCCCTATTTTCCAAAACAAGTTTTAAGGGAGAATCTGTTATTTCATATACTGTCAAAAAGTACATAGTTTGATGTATCGCATCTATTGGATGAACCTGAAATAACTACATGTATTCTAGTCAATGAAAACTTGAAATTAATGCTAGATCACTGATGATCATGATACAAAGTAATAATTGACAATTTCAACATAATGTTATTGCGTTGGTAAAAACAATTAAACCTATTGTCTGCTATCCAGTGCACACCACTCTAAAGTCCTATGACAACATGATACTACGATGTCACTGTGACATCCATGTGACATCACCAGTAGCCAAGATAAAGGCTAGCTATTGAAATAAATGTACTATTTCTTTCAGTTTGCGTTGTTCAGTCACTATGATGTAGGTTTGTATAAACATCACTGGAGTGTCTTACAACTGAGTATTATATATAACAACTTTTTTCTGGGAGAGGCAGGTATGAACTCATTGAAGACAAATGTTCAACTGATCCAGTGATCTGGCTACAAGTTAAACAATTATCCTTAAACCACTTCCTAAATCCAGCCCTTGTTACCTCCAGCAGATGGTGGACACTGACAACCATGCCAGGGGTTTACAGGACGCTAATTCCTGTATCCTATACGCATAAAAATGGATAATGGACGCAACAAAATTTATTAGCGCGTCCACGGGGACTCAGAAAAAGTCAAAATACTTCTTGTAAAAATTCCAGTCAATTGACAATAAGTTATCACTGAGTTTGCTACTAGCTGGGACCCCCATTTTTGTTGTCCAGGACCCCTGAAAATTAAGAGTACGAGTCCCAGGGACCCTCAAATACAGGAGTCCATGTAAATCCCTGCTTGTCCAGCAGAGCAATCATAGTGATTGTTCATTTACAGAGTACATAAAACACATGAATTATGGTTATATATTTGTGAAATTGTTGCAAACTTCAAGATAATCTGATTATAAGATGAACTTTTCTAACTATATGTTTGTACTGTTTCTAATCTACGTCTAGGAAAATCACTTACATTTAAATATTAGGAAAATCCTTAAAAAACTTGCAGAATATTTGAACTCTATAGCGGTGGCACGTGGTCCTGTGCATAGAGCTCAGGTCACAAATCAGGTGAAGTTAACCAATATTGAGTGTGGACAGTCCTTGGATGGGTGACAGTGTTTAGCACCTTGACTCCTGAGAGTTTCTAGGACTCCAGTCCTGCCCCACAACAAAACATGGGATACATGTGGTCTCATCTCAGGGAAGTGAGTTCAAAATTTCCTCTGTTCACCCAGCAGAAAATGGGTACCCGGTGAGATAAAGTCATGTGACTATAACCCTCTAGCACCTAACAGGCAGCTTGGGTTATCTGGGGTAATAATAATCAGATTGTTTGGGCACTTCGAGCATGCATTGTGCATAGAGCAATGAGCATGATAAATGGACTATTATTATTATTATTATCAATGCATTAAAACTGGTATGTTGTTATAAATCTAGAATATGTAATTGTTGACAAGAACAAGTCACATCCATATGAACACATCAGAAAACTTTGATATTGAATTACAGAATGTTTACTCGTTTCTTGAAATATGCAAATCCTGTGGTCCAAAATTAACCCTTACCAGGTCCTTTAGTTTATTGTTTGATATGTTTAGGCCTAAACAAACATCAAGCAGCTCTCTGGAAGAGTAACATAAAAGGTTTTACAGACAGAGAAAAAATGTGTGATACAGAGGTACAGATAAGCTGCGTATCTGCGTAAATTATGCAAATATTCATGTGAAAACTCAATTCCTATTAAGTCTATTGCGTACAAGTACGCTTGAATTTTTGTAAATCAAAATATGTTTTATCTTACATGCGTACACACAAAAATGTCAAATCATAACTTGCGTACCGGTGCATGGACTGTGTCCTCCCATTACGCAGACAGGCAGTTCGCAGATGCCTTAAAACAACATTTACGGTTCAATGAACAGATTAGCTACTACCTGTTACCTACACATTACAATGGAATAGTCCAAATAAAACAAGAAAAAAATTGGAGCTATAATATTTACTTTGAAAGATGGCTGAAAAGACATTAATTTGAACTTTGATTGCTGCAATATAAAAAACAGTTGATTTTCATAAACATTTGGGTTTCAGAATAGAACACAACCATTTTTTCAGGATTTACTCCCACCTGTAGTAGGCAACCGGACAAGCTGTGAGTTGAGAAACTCCAATAATTTTAGTCATCCATGTATAAGACTGAGGTACTCAGAATCATCTTTTATTCCATCAGCAGTTAAAATGTGGAATGATATTCCATTAGCTATTAGAATTTGCGACTCTGTTGCATCATTTAAATCTTATAAACTCTGTTGCATCATTTAAATCTTATATCTATCTAATATATATATATCTTAAGGAAGTCAAATGTTTTGCACACAAGAGTGAGTGAGTGAGTTTAGTTTTACGCAACACTCCGCAATATTCCAGCTATATGCCAGTTTGCACACAAGATTAAGATATATGATAAGTACACTTAATTATGATTTATTTAGAACAAATATAATAAAATGATGCATCATGTCAATGTGGCCATGGATGTGAGAATGTTTTTCATTACTTCCTTGAATGTCCATTGTATACTATTCAAAGACAAACTGTTACAATCTTTAGAAAGTATTGTTAAAATTAGAACACTGATTGGTATTAATCTTATCTTACATGGCAATGCAGGTCTCTCAATTACTGAAAATCAATGTTTTCAAATATGTACATATCTATATCTCTCAAACAAAACTTTTTCTCAGTTATCTTCTGTTGTACATATCCTATAATTGGAAGAGGGCTTTTCTAAGTAGGATAACTTGTGCCCAATCCTTTTTTTCAATGAATAAAATATGTTTCAATCAATAAAAACAATCAAAACCCTCAGTGACTAACCTGTTTTTATATACGCTAGTAATTGATAGTAAAAACAATTTTGAGAAGAGAAGACAGATTATCATTTAATCACAACAAAGTTCCATTTACACACAATCAAACTTCTCAGTAACAAACTTCTGAACTTGTTTCAGGCTCACCCTACTCTACCCACTAGACAGTGAGTGGACTGTTCCATTATACCCGTAGGTGTGACCCTAATTAACCTTCTAGTTCAGTGACAATGGGAGATAACCGCATGGACAGATAAAATAACTGAGGTATATTGAGGTTCTTTTTCAACACATGAACTTGGCAAGTTGCAGTCTTTCTTATCGTTTCTCATATTACAGATGAAATATTTATAGCAAACACATAAAACAACATTTAGACTTTATTTTATATTTTCACAATTAATGGAAAATGGCAAAGTACCCAATTGAGTTTGAGTGAGGTGGGTACAATTTATTTGGTTACTCAAAGGAAAATTAGGATACCCAATTGATATGAACATAAGCGAGTACATAACTCAATGACCTAAAGGTTATTTGTAGCTCTGGTGATAATGTCTGGTTGAAAAAGTAAAATTCCAAAATTCCAAACATGCAAGTTCACAAAAAGAAAACATACATCCCCGACGGGATTCGAACCCGCGGCCTCTGGATTAGAAGTCCAGCGCGCTATCCGCTGCGCTTCGGGGACTTACAACATATTTAGAGACTATATCACTATACTATAAAGTTTGTCCATGTGTCACCCTTTGTGGCTATTCAATCAATAAAACTTTTATGTAGTAATTTAATGGCTGCTGTGCCAGATGTTAATTCTATTCAAAGTGTTCACGTCAATACTTCAAACTTGGTGGCAGTTACAACACGGGGACTTGGACTCACTACATATGAAAACACGGACAAGTATAAACTGTATGCATCTATAGATAAGTTGTAAGATGTAATTATTTTTAGTAGGTTTGTTAATCAATAAACAATTTATTCTATCACAAATTTATTTAATTACAAACCCTATGTAACCTAACCAAGATGAGTATAGGCCACTACGTAACCTAACCAAGATGAGTATAGGCCACTACGTAACCTAACCAAGATGAGTATAGGCCACAACGTAACCTAACCAAGATGAGTATAGGCCACTACGTAACCTAACCAAGATGAGTATAGGCCACTACGTAACCTAACCAAGAAGAGTATAGGCCACTCGTGAACCTAACCAAGATGAGTATAGGCCACTCACGTAACCCTAACCAAGATGAGTATAGGCCACTACGTAACCTAACCAAGATGAGTATAGGCCACTACGTAACCTAACCAAGATGAGTACAGGCCACTACGTAACCTAACCACTACGTAACCTAACCAAGATGAGTATAGGCCACTACGTTACCTAACCAAGATGAGTATAGGCCACTACGTAACCTAACCAAGAAGAGTATAGGCCACTACGTAACCTAACCAAGATGAGTATAGGCCACTACGTAACCTAACCAAGATGAGTATAGGCCACTGACGTAACCTAACCAAGAAGAGTATAGGCCACGACGTAACCTAACCAAGATGAGTATAGGCCACTACGTAACCTAACCAAGATGAGTATAGGCCACTACATAGCCTAACCAAGATGAGTATAGGCCACTACGTAACCTAACCAAGATGAGTATAGGCCACTACGTAACCTAACCAAGATGAGTATAGGCCACTACGTAACCTAACCACTACGTAACCTAACCAAGATGAGTATAGGCCACTACGTAACCTAACCAAGATGAGTATAGACCACTACGTAACCTAACCAAGATGAGTACAGGCCACTACGTAACCTAACCACTACGTAACCTAACCAAGATGAGTATAGGCCTATAAGTAATTGCTGTATGATTTGCAATATATTTTCAGTGTCTCTAATGTATATATCATGTTCCTAGCCTGGGCTGGCTAAAATATGTCATCAATAGGAAAAATTATTACTGATTAGTGATATGAAAATTGTGTCATCAATAATATCA